CCCCCAAAATGAATAAATAATAAATCAATAAAGGAGGAGGAAGAGGAGGAGGAGGAGGAGAAAGAGGAAGTGGAAAAAGAAGGCGAAGAGGGGGAGGAAGAAGATAGAGAAGGAGGAAGAAACGGAGCGGGGAGAAGGGAGCGGAAGAGAAGACAGAAGGAAGGGAGGGAGAATGGACTCGCGGGTTCTCTTCTCCGTGGGATTGGCGGCCGTTACAGATGTGCACACCGTCAGCTCTGGGAGATTCTAGACCAAAGAGCTCTGCGCCCAGAGGGCGAGGCTTGGTGCACAAGTAGCAGCAGCGACTCCTGGAAAAGGGTAACTGGGGAGAAGCAATAAAGCTGAAATCGTCTTTTGAAAATTTTTTTGCTTATCTGTTGCCATGAACCGTGGTTCATATTCTTGATGGGATATTATGGGAAAGCTACTGTGTCCATAACCGGAATTGTGGGCCTGAGAAGATGCCGTAACTTACTGTTTTGTCAAGTATCTCTTAACTTCCACATTTCAGCAAAGTTATTTATCTTGTAAGAATAAATCAACACGACATTAAAAAAAATAGCCTCAGTGTACCAAGGGAAGATTTTCAGTTATTTTAAAAGTAGTACTGGCTAGGAGAGAACTATGTGCTGAAGGAACTAAATTTTGTTTGGAGTGCTGTGTAGCTAGAGCTACAACCTTCTGCTGAAGGAAGATGTAGACTTAATGAGTAAGCCCTCTGCCCCCAGAGTAACCCTCTTTTACGGAAAACAGTTCAGTGACAAGTTGAAAGAGACTTTCTGGAAAGTGTCGGAACGTGACAACAGTGCAGGGTGGATTCAGCTTGGTCTCCTTTCTCCAGCCTTTGCGACATAATGGGAAATAACGGAGGTTCAGAAGTAGATTTTGAATCATCAGTGAAGACAAAGTTATATTTAGTAAATTTCTGGAGTTCTGCGTTTTAACGGTTATCTCATGCTCACCAGTCTTGGCCAGCCAGGGAGCCTCTGGAATCCTTTCAGGAGAGGAGCAGGCTGCGGTGTCAGTGGCTTTTGACCGGCCTCCTGGATTTACCAACCTCTACCTGGTGACCTGGCTAAGGCTTACAGTAAATGACTTTAGACTGCACTGGTGCATGAGAGACTAAGTTCAGAGTTTTTTTCTTTCTGTATTGTCTTTATAATTTATTCTGTAACCTCTTCCAAAAAGATTCCAGGGGCATTTTTCATCTGGAGAAGTCTAGTTTATAAAACATAACAAACAAAACACCTACAATTTATTTCATTTTATTTTTTTCAGTTAGCAAAAGTACTGTATTTTTCTCTCGTATTTGCTTTACAAAGTGATGAAGTTCACAGCTGTATACCAAAACGAGGAAGCCAGGGCTACTTGCTTATAAACATTTTTTTGCAGTCAAGTATCATCTAATCTCATAAAACATCTACAGTTTAGAACCAGCACATTGTTTGAAATAACAAATAAAACGACCGGATTCCAGGCAAGGACAAGTCACGCTCAGCTAGGGCTCCAAACTCAAATGTCCACAGAGCTGGGCAGGCGGTCCTATTTCTGTTATTACCTAAAAATCTTTTGTAAAACTCTGTGCTTAAAGCAACAGCCATTTTGTAAAATGGCTTTGTGGGCTGGGAATTTGGCCAGAGCCCATCTCAGTGGTTCTTCTGGCCTATGATGTCCATGCGGGTTGCTGGTGGTGTTCAGCCGACAGACGGGCTGATCTGGAGGGCTCAGGACAGCTTACCCTGCGCTGGGCTCCTAGGCAGGGATGCTGGAGCTGGGCTGAGCGAGGGTCTACACCAGGCTTCTCTAGCAGGCAGTGTCAGGCATCTCACTCGGTAACTCAGGACCTGCACAAAGAGTGTTCCAGGAGACCTGGACGGAAGGGTTCTTGTGACCCGGCCTTACAATCCCAGGACATCGCTTCTAGAGCATTCTCTAGGTAACGCAAACCCCAGGGCCCAGGTTAAGGGGGAATGAATGAGTGAAACCACCTCTCAATGGGAGGAGAAGCAAAGCCTTGGGACCTATTTTGAAAAGACGTTATCTTTTAATTTATATATTAAGTAATAATTAATTTATATATTAACAATATATAAATATTATACTACTATTTGATGTAATGATATTATACATATGTATTTATATTTACATTTATGTATTATATAACTTATATGTATATGTCTCTCTATATCTGTACAGGTAGATACAGATAGATATGTTTTTACTCTTCAGACAAGAGCGTACAGTATCTACTTACGGAAGGGTAGACCAAAACCCTTAAGTATTACCTCTGAGGAATGAAATTGTGACCCTAGGATGGGAAGGAGACCCTTTTCATTTTATTTCAGTAAAATTCAAAGTTTTGACCATGTGTATGTATGACTTGACAATTTTTTGATAACTAGTTTATGTAAATAAATTGGAGAACACTAAAGCTAGAATTTCCTTAGCCCACGGGATTTTTTCTTAGCATTGATTACTATTTCCTATTTGATATATCTGCGTGCAGTATTTTATTTCGATTTTTCACAACTCCACACAGGCATAATTATGGACCATTTTTTGTGCATCAGCTCAGATTTGGACATAAAAGAATATATTTATTCTGCCTCCTGCCTCGAAAGTGCAAGGACCTGAGTTCGATCCCTGGTACCCCCCCCAAAAAGAATACATTTAATTATGCATAATTTATTAAGAAAATCTGTTTCTAGAAATAACACAGATTAAAGCCAATGCTTCATTTCAGTTCATGGTTTAGTTCATCTTGGAGCTCTCTTCTTGAAAGATAATGAGCTGCAAGTTTTAAATTTTAAAAAACCCACCAGGTCACTGTGCTGTTGAGACCATTACTGTTGCCACCCTCAGTCTAACCCTCATGGTCTTCACCGAAATGTATTCAATGTTTTTAAGAAGATAATTTTTTGGTTTTTGTTGTTGGTTCTTTGAGACAGGGTCTCACTAGGTAGTTCATACTGACCTGGAACTCACTGTGTAGCCTAGGCTGGTTTTGAACTCACAGTGATCCTCCTGCCTCAGCCTCCTGAGTGCTGGGATTACAGGTGTGTGATATAGCCTAGTGGTTTTGAACTCACAGTGATCCTCCTGCCTCAGCCTCCTGAGTGCTGGGATTACAGGTGTGTGCCACCACACCCAGCTTTAAGCAGATCATTTACCAGAAGCATTTGGTTAAAGTACATATGGAATCTCTTTTTTTGTTTTGGTTTTGTTTTTTTTTGTACCGGGGATTGAACTCAGGTCTTTGTTGGAATCTCTTTTTAATCCAAATCACTTCTGGGGAGAGAGACAGATTTTGTTCTAAAGAGACTGACTGGATTTTTCATAAAAGAATATTGTACAATCCAATTATTCCCGAATTCAAGAGTAATTTTCTAAATTCCAAGGTTTTATCTTTACTTTTGTTTTTATCTTATATCTGTGAATCTCAAATTGGTTATCATTTTAGGGATTTATTCAAGCCGTCTCAATTTAGAGATGAAGAAATGTATGAAAAAGGTCACCTTGTTAAATTCTTTTTTTCTTTTTTCTTTTTGTATCAGGGTTTGAACTTGGGTCCTTGTGCTCACAAGGCAGGCTGTGGCACAACTGAGCTAAGTCCCTGGCCCATCTTGTTAAATTCTTTAAAGCTTAAGGCTGTCAAACTTGAGTGCACATCGCAGTCACTTTGATGCCTTCTTACAACTTAGATTGCTGGGTCCTCTTCCAAGTTTCCGATTCTGTGGTTGAGGAGGGGTCTGGGAATCCACCTCTCTGACAGATTTCCGGGTGATCCCAGTGCTGCGGGCTTGGTGGTCAGACTGTGAGAACCACCACTTTGACAAAACTCCTTCCCTGGAGAGTTCCTTTTCCTCTTGTAGGTAAAAATCTTTCAAATGTGCCATTTCTAATTTTTATTTTTTTAACTTGATCATAACTTAACTGGACTCGGTGATGTATCTCTATTTCAACCTCTAAGAAAAGTACCCATACCCCTAACATGTTCCCTAAGCTGGGGAAGTTTCTTTAACTTTTTTTGGATCACCAAGCCTGAAAGTTCTCCCTCAAATAGTCACACAGATGCATGCCCTGTGCTGATCACTCCCTATTCCCTGTCCCCTGTTCCGTGTTCAGCTCTTGTGCTTGGCTCTGACCCCGTTTGAGAATAGGCGCACGTACACTTCATATTCATATCTGCTCCTCTGACGTGTTCTATGAGATATCTCTTGAGCTTCTTGTGGCTTGCTGTGCCGAGCTTCATTTGACTTGAAGCTTTCGAATATCGCCTGGTTTAAACAGAATAGCCCTGGGCCCAGGGTGTAGCTCAGCGTTGCCGTGCCTGTCTGGGAAGTGTAAGGATCTGAGTTCGATCCCTGGTACAAAAAAAAAAAAAAAAAAAAAGAAAGAAACAGAATAGCCTTCCTGGTGACCCATTGGAAATAGGTCTGTGGTCATCCTTTATACCACAGGAGAGGGTGGCTCATCATCAACGCATTATAACTTGCTATATTCTGAAAATGAGCCTGGGGCTACAGATCAATAAAGCAGATGAGGGTGGAATTGTTCAGGCACTGTCCCAAAGGAGAGAGCACAGTGCGATTTGAGTCAGGCCCCTTCCTACATTTATGGAGGTACCTGTGCCATGACCAGGACCAGGCTGGGGCTTGGGCACGTGAAGGTGAGCAGGGTCCACCCAGCCCTGCTGTGAGCCCCACACAAGGCTGCCGAGTGTGGACCTGGGAGCTAGGGGCTTTGGGCTCAGATTCCTCCTGCATTTCCTGCTGGCCGGGGCCAATGTGCACCCTCATAGCCCTGATGTGCCACCGTCCGTGAAATGACAATACGACTGCTACTTCCCAGGTCTGTCCCAAGACTGCAGTGGGACCCTACCTTGTCTGTTGGCTTGGGTTTCAAGAGCATCTCCTCTGCGGAGAAAGACCCGTGTCTACTGCAGTGTTTGACTTCTGCTTCCACGCAGCACTGACGACTGTATCTTCTACTTTCAACAGAAAACCAAGCCCTTGATGGCAGAATTCTCGGTAAAATCCACGATTATTTCTCGTTATGCCTTCACCACGGTCTCCTGCAAAATGCTGAACAGAGCTTCCGAGGACCAGGAGTTTGAGTTCCAGATGCAGATTCCAGCTGCAGCTTTTGTCACTAACTTCACCATGTGGGTGGCACTGGTTAGCGGGAGATCTCCGTGTGGGTGGTTGGACCGGGCCTGAGATGATGTGAGGCCCATAGCCTTTGACTGTGAGAATTCACACCCCGCTAAGGACGCGGGCCCTTGTGCCTGGGTCAGAAGGCTGCCCTCTTCCGTTCTTTTGCCTTTCCCTCCTTCCTCCCTTGTGGTCCTGTCTTTGTTCTTCCCATTTTCTTTTGGTCCATTCCTCTAGTCTTCCCTCCTTCCTCTCCTTTTTCTTTTCCTCCATCCTGGTTCAGCCTGGGCCCAGTATGCTTTGAGGGGATCGGTATACTATTTTAAAAAGTTGCTTGGCTTCAAAGATTCTAGTTGGGAGAAATAGTCAATAAATGAATAAATTGACAAAGGGGATCATTTGAGACAGTAGTAAACATTACAGTGTAAGGATAGCAAGTCGGATCTAGAGGAACTTTCAGTCAGGGAAATCAGGGAGGTGGCTTAGAGAGACCTAAAGAAATAGCATGGAACACTTGATATACTTGATTCAATATATTTCCTCTTTTTCTGGCCCAAAAGATAAAGATAAACAAAATGGGCTGAGTGTTTGGGTTTCATTTTTGGTGTGGGCACGATTTGAGTCGAAGACTCTTCGTGGAAATTTGAGCAGATCTTGTGATTTCTCTGCTGGTCAGTCACAGAGGTGCCTGGGCTCGGTCTCACCATTTGGATCTGTTGAACATTGCCCTAGAATGAAACGGATGACTCAAGCTGGTGCCCTAGTCTGGAATGCATTTGATCTGCATATCCAAGAAGCAAATAAAAATATTTTCTTGGGTCGCCATGGTTTTGAAGTCCATGTTGGACTTTGCCTTGGAACTGATGGCGTTAACACAGCTGTCTCTTGGGTTTCAGGCTTATTGGAGACAAGGTGTACCAGGGCGAAATTGCAGAAAGAGGAAAGAAGAATGGAGGTAGAGTAAAGGAGAAGAGGAATAAAACTACAGAAGACAGCGGGTAAGCACTGTTCAATTAAGGGATGAAAATCCATTGAAGCAAGGTGCCATACTTTCTACCCCTTTGCCTATGTAGCTCTTCCTTCCCTCCAAATATTTTAACATTTTTGATCCAAATAATAAATATATTTGATTCACACTATAGTAGATAAACATTTATAATAAAAGAAAATTTTACTCTGCCTGTTGCTTAGTTTTTACTTCCTAGCAACACTTGCTTTTAATATTTTTCTTTGCAATGACCTAACTCTAACTTGTGTGATAATGTTGCTTTTTCTTGATTTCTTAATAAAAATAAGATATTATCTGTTGACTCTTTTTCTGTGAAGAAAGAGGAGTTAGCAAATTTATAATAATCCTGTCTCTGCATTGTCTCTCTCTCTCTCTCTCTCTCTCTCTCTCTCTCTCTCT